GTTTCGGCTCCGCAGAAGAACATGCCAGAATGTTGATCCTAATAAATGAATGGATTTCTTTTCAACTTTGTCTCGAGGCTCATAAATTAATTAGGTCATCTTCTGGGAACTTCTCATCAAATTTAAGTTGTTAAAAATTTGTTTAGAATAAACAGCAAAAGGTGATTAAAATGTTGATTTTGGAAAGTTGCAAGTCAATGAGGGGCCAAGATAGATTTAAAATAAAATTTGGGAATTAACTGAAAGAATCCTTCCCATGGGAAAATTATTTTGTTTTGAATTCTCCTAAACAAAATCATGATAGGGTAATACTTCGAAGGTTCAACATTAGTGGGAACCAAAAGGAGCTAAAGATAACAATTAAAGAGGAACACTTAAATTTGAGTTACTAATATAGAATGAAGCAAAATATTTTAACATGGGATACATTGAAAGACTGCCTTCAACAATGCCAATTTTACAAGTGTCTGCCTCTAATTAGACTGTTTCAAGGATGTTAGGAAAGAGGAACAGGTTTTACTTGTCAAGATTGAGACTGTCATTTAAAAATGACAGCTACAAGAATGATATGGAAAAAAATATTCTGGGTATACAAAAGAAACTGGCTGATGTCTTAATAATTAAAAAGGATAATATACTAAGAGTAATTTTCCTATACTCAATTTACAGAAGAAAGTTTTGAAGAATTTTGTAGAGGGGACAAAGAAAATATGAAAAGAAGTTCTAGAGCATTATTTGAATGGGATCATGATTGTTAAAAGCAAAGGGAAGGAATATCAAGTTAGTTTATTTTTTCAAGGTTAAAATAGATATGCTGTTATCTCCAGAAACCTCATAGTGAACTTTTGCTGACCAGGACTGAGATCACAAGAGATGGGAAGCAGGAAGAAGAGACCATGTGCTGTATTTTAAAAGAAAGTAATAAGTTACTAAAATTGCTTATACTTGTGATGAAGTAGAAGTCAATTCTTTGCAGTTCTTTTTTTCTTGATTATATTCTTATTTTTGTATTTTTTCTATTTTTATTTTCTCCCATTTTCTGCACTTTCTATTTTTTTATTCTTTTATTTTTTAGTTGTATTAGTTTTTAATGTCTGAAATTTTAATTGTTAATAAAAATATTATACAATAATTGTACAATTTATACAAGGCATAATATTTCTTGACAACCAGGAGAATTGGTTGTAAACACCCTTGTCTGAATTATTCAATTCTTTGGGGGAGGATGTTTTAATTTTAAAGAATAGATCAGATCCAAGAACATACGGGCCTGTTATGATCGAACCTATTTCTGTTTAGGATAATTGATCTCCTTGCTTTCAATGGCAAGTTAATACTGATCTACCAAAGTGACCAGATCATTGCTGATTTGGCCAGAAGGAATGGGAACAATCAGAACAGTGTGAGTTAATCAGAGAGGCTCTTCCCAAGCAAACCTGCAACATTTCATTGAATCTCACAAGAGTGGTGTACAAATGTATATGAGAAGGCATAATCAAAAGGAAATAGGGGAAATAATTACTTCAATTTGGAGATGGTTTCCCACATTCCTGCTCTCATAGGAATTCATTTGTAGTGTATATCCCTTTGTCCAAGTGATTTTCCATCTCCCTATCCAAGTCTCCTGTCCTCACCTCTTTCTCAAAAATAGCCTGATGCTTCTTGGCCAGTTTTTCAGCCTCAGCCGAGAAGTTGTTGCGGTGAGCCTCAAGCTCTTTGTCAAGGCGCAGCTGGTGCTCATCTAGTTCAGCCCGCAGTTTGTTCTCCAAAGCCAGCAACTGTTTCTGATGTTGACGCCGCATCCGTTTGTAGCCGCTCATCTGATCCCGCAGTGCTGAGTCTTGCTCATGCTCCTGGATTTGGCGAGTCACCTGAAAGAATGGAAGACAGGAAGAGAAAAACAGGAAAATCTAATTTAATCCAAAATTGTGATATGTAGACAACACCATTCATGGGTTTATTACGGAACTAATCCTGCCGTGGGGTAAACTGTAGTGTTGTGCACATTCAAATCTGAAGCAGGCAAGGATCTTCTGATCGGGTATGAGCATCTTCTCACTCCCTCTTGGCTGATCCTTCAAGAATCTTACCTTTTCCTGGATTTGAATGGTGCCTGAAGGGGCTCAGGAAAAATTACCTTCCAGTCAAGGAGAGGTTAGCAGTGATGGCGAACCTATGACACGCGTGTCA